GGGGCCCTGGCCCCCGGCCGCTGCTGCCTCTCCCGCCCTCTCCAAAGCGCTGCCCGGAGCCGAGTGGGACCCGGCCCGCCCAGCCCCTCGCTCGCAGCCCTCGCCGGCTCTCTAACGCCCGCTGTTGTGATGCGTATTCCCGTAGACCCGAGCACCAGCAGGCGCTTCACACCTCCCTCTACGGCCTTCCCCTGCGGCAAGATGGGAGAGAGCAGCGGGGCGCTGAGCGCGCCCGCCCCGGGCTCCCGGACGCCCGGAGCCGAGTGGGACCCGGCCCGCCCAGCCCCTCGCTCGCAGCCCTCGCCGGCTCTCTAACGCCCGCTGTTGTGATGCGTATTCCCGTAGACCCGAGCACCAGCAGGCGCTTCACACCTCCCTCTACGGCCTTCCCCTGCGGCAAGATGGGAGAGAGCAGCGGGGCGCTGAGCGCGCCCGCCCCGGGCTCCCGGACGCGGCCCGAGGTGCGCTCGGTGGTGGACGTGCTGGCGGACCACGCGGGCGAGCTGGTGCGGACCGACAGCCCCAACTTCTTGTGCTCGGTGCTGCCTTCGCACTGGAGGTGCAACAAGACCCTGCCGGTGGCCTTCAAGGTAAGCCCGGGCCGGGGGCTCCACGCGGGGGACTTCCAGGGCCAACGAAAACGAGGCCTGGTCTCCTCGGGCGATGGTTGGGGGGAGGGACGAGAGCGGCCTTGGGGAGAAACTTGCACATTTACTCCCAGCGCACCCCCCTTCGCTTTCGGGCAGCGCTCGCGCTGCGCTGCGGTCAGAACCGCTCGCCTCTTGCGCGCGGGTTGAGCTCGCAGGGACCTTTGAAGTTTAATGAGAGTTGAGGCTAATTACCCAAGCGGGGGAGGGGGAGCTCTGAGATCGTAGAGGCCAGGGAAGAACCGCAGAGACAGCCCGGCTCATTGCAGAAGCTGCTTCTGGCCTTCCCGGGTTGCTTCGCTGCTGCGCTGGCCCCGTTGGCTCCTCCGGGAGATTGAAACATTCACGTTCCACCCGAGTTTCTGGTT